TGTCAACAATTAACTTTTATTTATTAAAAAGAAATCCTTCTTCTAGTCTTGGCCCCACTCAGAATATTTAGCTCATCAGTTTCTCCAAACTGAGGTCGTTCCAAAGCCTATGTGCAGCGGGCAAGACATTACTTGTTCATAACTTTTTCCACAGAACCCCTCTTGAAAAGAGCTGAACTTTTACTTTAAATGTGAAACAACTGCAAAACAAGATGGTGAATTTTTCATCTCAGATATTTTTAGATACTTCGAGTTGTTTTAGATGCCGTCAAAACTACAGCTGCAGATGAACCATTTATAAACAACATATGATGCACTTCCTTCAAAGCAACCAGCTTAACACATCCCCTTTAAGTGCTCTGATGACATTTTTTTTTAGACATTTCAAATCCACCCTTTTCCCCTTCAACCATCTTGGCTGTAGGCTTTTTAGTTCATCCTTTGTGGCCCTCAATGTCAATGTTTGGGCCTTTAATGTCAAAATCAGGTTTTTTAATTTCTCCTTTGACCTTCGGCATTTTAACATCAATATCACCTTCAAGTTTGGGGCCTTTTAATTTAACGTCAAAATCTGGGCTCTCTAATTCTGGACCTTTGATGTTTTATGTTGACAATATCTGCTTTCAGAAGGTTGATGTCAACTTCTGGACCTTCTACTTTTGCCCCTTTTAATCCAAATAATGGCTTCCAGCCCTCAGCTCTTCTGCTGGCACACCATCCATCTCAGCTGGAGGCACTCCTGTCTGTATTAATGCCCTCCAGAAAGCAGAACGAGTAGGTTCCTGCATGTTTTTCCGGCCGTCCCTTCTCGGCCCACGACCCATGGATTGACTAAATGTTTTTTCCACGGTTTTCAGCTCTGTGTTCCAATCACCCAGTTTCAACACTCTGCTTTGAACATCAGTCCTTGAAAAAACATGTAGATGATAATTTACTACCCAACGCACAGCGAGCGCATTCCTTACACACAGCCGAACCAATCTCTGCTCGCACTCCCCTAGGGTCACCCATTGCCCCTGTAAATCAGACCAATCCGATGCTCCGGGAAACATCTGTCGGGCTGCCTCTGCACAAGCTTCAAACGACGGTCTCGAGTCTTGCAAAGTTCTGACTCGATGCGTTGAATTCACTACCTGACCTCCACCTTTATCCAACAGCCTAGATACTCGAGCATCTGTGGGTTGTGCAGTCTGTTGTTGTCTTAATTTCTTAATGATAGACACCACCTCATGTGAATAATCTTCTGTCATCATATGTAGCACAGGGACTGGCTGAGGTTGTGGTCACTCATCATAGATCGGTTCACCATTTGCATCTACAAGGACCACTCCGTCTGCGTCTCTGCGCTCTTCCCTGACTGCCGGCACGACTATCTGATCTTGTCTGCGCCATTTAATTGGTTTCAACTTTTTCTCATCCTCTGTCCAAATATAATCATCATCATCATTTTCTTCATCTCCCCAGATGTTTCCGTCCCAACTCGACGGATCCCATCTGTCTCGTACCTGTTTAGATAACCCACTGTGCCTCTTTCTCTTGAATTTTCCTCGCTTCAACCGGGACACCTGCTCCACCGCCCCCTCAGCCACCCTGCTCATTCTCCCAAACTGAGCACCGAGCAACTGAATGTGCTGTTCATTCAACAAGCAGGCGGTCCTCACATTCTTGTTTGCTCCGTTGAGCCTGTGATTGCATTTTCTGACTTTCCTCATGCAGTTTTTTCCCCAGGCTACCGCACACATCCTCATATGACGCTGAAGCCCTGTCACTGGTGCCATCTTTCTGACCTCTATTGCCTGCAAAGCAGTCAAAACATCACCCGGACTATCTGCTTTCAGAGAATTGTTCTAACAACTGGGATGGGGCTTCTTCCCACCTCTCAAACATAACACTAACAACTGGGATGGGGCTTCTTCCCATCCCGGTACAACTTTTTCTCTGTTCCTCTCACGCCTCCTCAGGCGTCTGGATCAACTTTTTCTTCGTTCAGCTCACGCCTTCTCAGGCGTCTGGATCAACTTTTTCTCTGTTCCACTCACACCTCCTCAGGCGTCTGAATCAACTTTTTCTCTGTTTTTAAACTCTCACACAAAGGCTTGGGGCGTCCCCCTCCACCTCTTAAACACAAAGCCAAAGTTGGATAACTCTCCCAACCCGGCACAACCTCTGCGGACTCTTGTCCAGACGCACTCGCATCAACTTTTTTCTCAACACTTTTTTTCCTTTCGTTTGAACATGGTGCAGCCATTCAGAATTATTTATTTATTTTAATAACATCCCATCCTCGTCGCCAAAAATGTTTTATGAAATTTCTTTAACAAAGGTTCGTGAACGGTCGGCCCCAATAATTCACACGAGAGGAAAATGAAACACAAGTAGACTGTCCTGCTAGAAATAATAGTGTCATTTATTAATCTGCCACAGAAAAACAGCCAAGCAAACATGTACACTTGTACACTCTTTACACACAAATTGATATGAGAGCCCCTCACCGTGACACGTGGTCGGGAAGCCTTCGACCCGAGTGACAGGAAATCACACCAACAGCTGGGCACCGCGCGCTGGTCCACAGCAGACTTCTACTTCTAATTCTGGGTGTTACACTTTTATACTCTCCCTCTGACCGGATCGCGTGAGAGCAG